TTCCTGGTGGTTTTGCCTCCTGTCTTGGGGTAACTCTGATGTCTTTCCTGGTGGTTTTGCCTCCTGTCTTGGGATAACTCTGATGTCTTTCCTGGTGGTTTTGCTTCCTGTCTTGGGATAACTCTGATGTCTTTCCTGGTGGTTTTGCCTCCTGTCTTGGGATAACTCTGGTATCTTTCCTGGTGGTTTTGCTTCCTGTCTTAGGATAACTCTGCTGTCTTTCCTGGTGGTTTTGCCTCCTGTCTTGGGATAACTCTGATGTCTTTCCTGATGGTTTTGCCTCCTGTCTTGGGATAACTCTGATGTCTTTCCTGGTGGTTTTGCCTCCTGTCTTGGGATAACTCTGATGTCTTTCCTGGTGGTTTTGCCTCCTGTCTTGGGAATTGGCGGAACCCGTTTTATGTTCCAGCTAAAATAGCGCCGTTTTCTTTCTCACCGCGCGGTGCCATCTTGTGGGCATTTTGGTTTTTGAGTTGAGCCATCTACTTTTAGGTCAGTGTAGTTTAGGAACTTCAGACATCCAGGGTTGCTACTCCCCAAAGGGAATTACGTATATGATATATACTCTGAAATGGAAGAGACCCAATTCCTTGCAGAACTACATACATAGAATATAGGTCCCCAGTGAAAATATTCATCAGCTTTTGAGGAACACCACCCAATTCCATTGGTTTGCATTGCAAAATAGTTTTTTCATTTTTTTTCATAGTTCTACGACACCGGTCGTCGGGGGTACCCTTCGGTGAGCCTGAAAAATTTATTTTTTTAATGCAATATAAAAAGAAATTGATCATTTCGGGGGATCTGTGTTTTTTTTGAACGTTTGTTTAGGAACTTCAGACATCCAGGGTTGCTACTCCCCCAAGGGAATTACGTATATGATATTTACCCTTATACATGAAAGAGATCCAATTCCTTGAAGAATTACATACATAGAATATAGGTCCCCAGTGAAAATATTCATCAATTTTGTGAGGAACACCACCCATTTCCATTTGTTTTCATTGCATTTTTTTTTTTTCATAGTTCACCCCGCGATTGCCCCAGCAAAACGCGTTGCAACACACTTTCCATGCTGAAATCGCAGTTGTCCCTTTGCGGAACTGGTTTGAATCACAGGCGGCTGCAGCAATCCATGCTTCTGTCAAAAACCTGAAAAGATTTATTTTCCTGGATCAAAATGGATAGCCGGAAATATTCTATGCATATGTTGTTTTTTTCCGATTCCGGAAGATGTTTTTATTCTATGTATAGGTTTTTTTACCGATTCCGGGAGATGTTTTTGAGGCCGAAATTATCGATTTTGTATTCTATGTACCCCATCGGGATTATATATATATATATATATTTACACACGCGTTTTTGCACATATCTGTACAACTTGAAGGGGAAAACATTCGCTGAAATGCTGGGAAGCATTCTGACTGCTGAAATGCTTGTAAAAGCAATTTCAAAGGGGAACCATTCTATTTGCGGAAATGCTGGTAGAAAACAATTTCAAGGGGGAAGCATTCCAACTGCTGAAATGCTTGTGTAAAAAACAACTTGAAGGGGGAAGCATTCAAACTGCTGAAAGGCTGGTAAAAAAACATTTTCAAGGGGGAAACATTCTAACTGCTGAAATGCTGGTAAAAAGTAATTTCAAACGGGGAAGCGTTCTAACTGCTGAAAAGCTGGTAAAAAACAATTTCAAGGGGGAAACATTCTAACTGATGAAATGCTGGTAAAAAACAATTTCAAGGGGGGAAACGTTCTAACTGCTGAAATGCTGGTAAAAAGTAATTTCAACGGGGAAGCATTCTAACTGCTGAAAAGCTGGTAAAAAACAATTTCAAGGGGGGAAACATTCTAACTGCTGAAATGCTGGTACAAAACAATTTCAAGAAAACATTCTAATTGCTGAAATGCGTGTGTAAAAAGCAACTTCAAGTGGGAAGCATTTTAACAGCTGAAATGCTGGGAAGCATTCTAACTGCTGAAATGCTGGCAAAAACAATTTCAAGGGGGAAGCATTATAACTGCTGAAATGCTTGTAAAAAGCAATTTCAATGGGAACGCGTTCTAACTATACCCCAGGACTGGAAGTTAGAATGCCGCTTTGGTGCAAAGATGTGGATTTCAAGAAAAGACCCGCGTACCGCGTGACCTTATTTATTTAGTCCTGAAGGCATTGAAAAACCCTATTTATTTAGTCCTGAAACCCCTAAAAGTCCAAAATTCTTAACGCATTCTCGACCGTCCCGTGTCTTCCATGTATATGGCACTGCAAATATGCAGAATATGCATGTAAATTGCAAAAAAAATCATGAAGAACGCCTTTAAAACACTGAAAAATCAATGGAACACATGCAACAACATTGAAAAATCAATGAGAAATAATGAAACACATCTTAAAAACAATGAAACATCCATGAAAATAATGAGCAACGTCTTGAAAATAATGAAAAATCAATGAGCAATAATGAAAAATCAATGAACAATAATTGACAATAATAAAAAACTTCTTAAAATCATGAAACCCATGGAAAAATAATGAAAACCATCTTCAAAATAATGAAAAATCAATGAAACACATCTTCAAAATAATGAAAATCACTGAAAAATAATGAACACATCTTCAAAATACTGAAAAATCACTGAAGGCCGTCCCGGATTTTTTAAATGGGTTTGAGGATTAAATAAGGTTAGAATGCCTCCCGGAATTCTCACGCAGTACGCCTGTTTTTTCTTGAAATCCATGTCTTTCTACCAAGGTTGCATTATAACTTCCAGTCCTGCGGTATATATGCATGCATCTATGTAAACAGTATCTATGTATCTATGTTCTACCATATAATTAAAAAACAATGAAAAATAATGAAAAACGTGGTCAAAACAATGAAAACCAATGAAAAATAATGGATCTCAACCGTCATTCGGGACCAAAATTTCATTTATATATTTAAAATCTATATTAATTTATATATATAGAATTCAGAAGTTTTGGGGGCATATGCTGCGGAGGCATTCTAACCCTACAAAAAACAAGGTTTGGTGGCCCCGGCAAACCAAGCTTTTGGTCAGTTTTGGACTACGGTTTTTACGGGTTTTTATGGGTTTGGATGAGTTTTTACAGGTTTGCGACGTTTTTTTTCGTGGATTGTGGCGAAGCTGCTTCATCAAAAACCTAGTTTTGTTGACTAAAACCTGTTTTTCTCGCAGAAAACAGCTCAAAACAAGGTTTTGATAGCTCGACCCGTTTTTTGTCAGGGATTTGGTTGATGTAGGGTGTATGATGATGATATCAAGCTGTGGTAAGTACTTATCTCAACCGTCATTGCGGACCAAGATTTCATTTATATATTTAAAATCTATATAGAATTCAGAAGTTTTGGGGGCATATGCTGCGGAGGCATTCTAACCCTACAAAAAACAAGGTTTGGTGGCCCCGGCAAACCAAGCTTTTGGTCGGTTTTGGACTACGGTTTTTACAGGTTTTTATGGGTTTGGATGAGTTTTTACAGGTTTACGACGGCGACGGTTTTTTTTTCGCGGATTGTGGCGAAGCTGCTTCATCAAAAACCTAGTTTTGTTGACTAAAACCTATTTTTTTCTCGCAGAAACCAACTCAAAACAAGGTTTTGATAGCTCGACCCGGGTTTTTCAGGGATTTGGTTGATGTAGGGTGTATGATGATGATATCAAACTGTGGTAAGTACTTATCTCAACCGTCATTGCGGACCAAGATTTCATTTATATATTTAAAATCTATATAGAATTCAGAAGTTTTGGGGGCATATGCTGCGGAGGCATTCTAACCCTACAAAAAACAAGGTTTGGTGGCCCCGGCAAACCAAGCTTTTGGTCGGTTTTGGACTACGGTTTTTACGGGTTTTTATGGGTTTGGATGAGTTTTTACAGGTTTGCGACGTTTTTTTTCGCGGATTGTGGCGAAGCTGCTTCATCAAAAACCTAGTTTTGTTGACTAAAACCTGTTTTTTCTCGCAGAAAACAACTCAAAACAAGGTTTTGATAGCTCGACCCGTTTTTTGTCAGGGATTTGGTTGATGTAGGGTGTATGATGATGATATCAAGCTGTGGTAAGTATTTATCTCAACCGTCATTGCGGACCAAGATTTATATATATATATTTAAAATCTATGTATATATATATAGAATTCAGAAGTTTTGGGGGCATATGTTACAAAGGCATTGTAACCCTACAAAAAACAAGGTTTGGTGGCCCCGGCAAACCAAGCTTTTGGTCGGTTTTGGACTACGGTTTTTACGGGTTTTTATGGGTTTGGATGCGTTTTTACAGGTTTGCGACGTTTTTTTCCGCGGATTGTGGCGAAGCTGCTTCATCAAAAACCTAGTTTTGTTGACTAAAACCTGTTTTTTTCTCGCAGAAAACAACTCAAAACAAGGTTTTGATAGCTCGACCCGTTTTTTGTCAGGGATTTGGTTGATGTAGGGTGTATGATGATGATATCAAGCTGTGGTAAGTATTTATCTCAACCGTCATTGCAGACCAAGATTTATATATATATATATATATTTAAAATCTATGTACATATATAGAATTCAGAAGTTTTGGGGGCATATGTTGCAAAGGCATTCTAACCCTACAAAAAACAAGGTTTGGTGGCCCCGGCAAACCAAGCTTTTGGTCGGTTTTGGACTACGGTTTTTACGGTTTTTTATGGGTTTGGATGAGTTTTTACAGGTTTGCGACGTATTTTTTCGCGGATTGTGGCGAAGCTGCTTCATCAAAAACCAGGTTTTGTTGACTAAAAAAACCTGTTGTTCTCGCAGAAACTATATAGCTCAAAACCAGGTTTTGGTACCTCGACCCGTTTTTTTCAGGGATTTGGTTGATGTAGGATATAAATATAATATATTTATTTCTCTAGATATTTAACATCTATATAGAATTCAGATGTTTCGGGGGCATTTGCTGCGGAGGCATTCTAACCCTACAAAAAAGAAAGGTTTGGTGGCCCCGGCACAACAGGTAGGCACATTTGATCAAACAATGTTTGAACATGTTTATTTACATTTACCAGCATAATACGTACTGAAAGGTAAAATTTTGAAGGGGGAAGCATTCTAACTGCTGAAAGGCTGGTAAAAAGCAATTTCAAGGGGGAAGCATTCTAACTGATAAAATGCTGGTAAAAAGCAATTTCAAGGGGGAAGCATTCTAACTGATGAAATGTTTGTGTAAAAAGCAACTTCAAGGGGAAGCATTCTAACTGCTGAAATGCTGGGAAGCATTCTAGCCGCTGAAATGCTGGCAAAAGCAATTCCAAGGGGGAAGCGTTCTAATTGCTGAAATGCTGGTAGAAAGCAATTTCAAGGGGGAAGCGTTCTAATTGCTGAAATGCTGGTAGAAAGCAATTTCAAGGGGGAAACATTCTAACTGCTGAAATGCTTGTGTAAAAGCAATTTCAACGGGGAAGCATTCTAACTGCTGAAAAGCTGGTAAAAAAAATCAAAGGGGAAGCATTCAAACTGATGAAATGCTGGTAAAAAACCATTTCAAGGGAAGAAGCATTCTGACTGCTGAAAGGCTGGTAAAAAGCAATTTCAAGGGGAAAGCATTCCAACTGCTGAAATGCTGGTAAAAAGCAATTTCAACGGGGAAGCATTCTAACTGCTCAAAAGCTGGTACAAAAATAATTTCAAGGGGGAAGCATTCTAACTGATCAAATGCAGGTAAAAAACTATTCAAGGGGAACGCATTCTAACTGCTGAAATGCTGGCAAAAGCAATTTCAACGGGGAAGCGTTCTAAGTGATGAACTGCCGGTAAAAAGCAATTTCAAGGGGGAAGCATTCTAACTGCTGAAATGCTTGTGTGAAAGCAACTTCAAGGGGGAAGCGTTCTAATTGATGCACTGCTGGTAAAAAGCCATTTCAAGGGCGAAACATTCTAACTGCTGAAATGCTGGCAAAGCAATTTCAAGTGGGAAGCGTTCTAATTGCTGAAATGCTGGTAAAAAACAATTTCAAGGGGAAGCATTCTAACTGCATTCCAACATTTGATGATATTCATAGTGTGTAGGCATTTTAAGTGAGGGATTTGTGCAAAGAGTTTTCCGAAAACAACAAAAAACTTAAAACCCGGGTGCGGAGGCATTCTAACTGAATGATTTTTTGCCGTGCGCGTGCCGCATTCTAACTGAGGGGGAGGAATATTTGGAATTCGCGGAGGCATTCTAACTTTCATTTTAACGGTATATATATCCTTTGGTTTCCAAACAGGTTATACCATAGGTCCCATGAGATTGCTATCACATATAGATCTTAAAGTATAGGATTGAATAATAACAGAACCATCTGGTGGTGGATCATCCTGTCCTGAATCTCCGGGTCAAAGAGCAAGAGAAGGTCATGGAAGCAAGGGTCCTGACAGGGAGTGATAAAGTAAATTATACGTTAATACTAAACAGGGAAGTTTCCATTCTAAAAACAGGATTGGATTTTTGTTACCAAATATGATGCCATGTATGTGAGAAATATATATTAATTGTGACTTAAAACATCGATATTTAAAATATGTTGTTTTTGGGGAACCAACCTTCCCAACCGCCAATGTTTCTCATTCTGAACTCCCCTCCTTAGTGACCTCATGCCTGTTCGCCTTACGCTTCACCAGCCCTGCTAACTGCTTAAGCTCCATGCTGTGCTTATACACACTTTTGCCACCCAAAGAAGTAATGCCACATTTTTCCACAAGTGCACCAACTTCTAGCTGCAGCGCATCCATATGTGGCAATCGCTTTTTTGGGTGCTTCCCCAGTCGGGACAAGACAGGGCCCAAGACATCAGCATTGGAAACACAGTTCTTGCGATTGGCCTTGCAATAAGGCTGATCTAAACCATGAACCAGCAGCTTCCTTTCAGACCGCAGGCGATCACGAATAACAGGATTGCTTTCCCATTCTTTGGCCAACCCTAAACAATTCATTGTTTGGGATGGCCCATCAAAACAAAGCTTGAAGCCAAAATGTTCTGTAGATGTGTGGTCGGTTTAACGGGCAACATGTTGTTTCAAACAAAGCGCACACTACCAAGCTGGATGAACCAAGGACACCTACATGGCAGC